TCTTCACTTTCAGCAAGCAAGGTTGTATCATCTGCATATCGAACATTATTAATGAGTCTTCCTCCAATCTTGATGCCACGTTTTTCTTCATATAACCCAGCTTCACGAATTGTTTGCTCAGCATACAGGTTAAATAAGCATGGTGAAAGAATATAACCTTGTTGCACACCTTTTTAAATTTTAAACCATTCAATGTTCCCATGTTCTGTTCAAACAACTGCTTCTTGGTCCAGGTACAGATTCCTCATGAGCACAATTAAGTTGTTCTGGAATACTCATACTTTGCAATGTTGTCCATAGCTTGTTATGATCCACGCAATCGAAAGCTTTCTCATAGTCAATAAAGAACAAGTAAACAACTTTCTGATATTCTCTGCTTTCAGCCAAGATCCATCTGACATCATCAGTGATATCCGTCATTCCATGACCACTTCTGAATCCGTCCTGAAACTCTGGAAGTTTTCTGCCAAGGTATGATTGTAGCCATTTCTGCATTACCTTTAGCAAAACTTTACTCACATGGGAAATCAAAGAGATTGTCCAATGATTTCCACATTCTGTTGGGTCACCTCTCTTTGGAATGGGTACAAATATAGATCTCTTTCAATCAGTTGGCCAGATAGTTGTCTTCCAAATTTCTTGGCAGAGATGAGTGAGTTCCTCCTGTATCACCTCACTGTCTTGAAAGATCTCAAATTTTATTCCATTAATCTTGGTGCCTTGTTCTTTGCCAATTCCTTCAGTGTACCTTGGACTTCCTCCTTCAGTATCATTGACTTTTGATCATATGCTACCTCTTGAAACGGTTGAACAATAACCATTTCCTTTTGGTACAGTGAATCTGCGTATTCCTTCCATCTTCTCTTAATGCTTTCTGCATCATTCAATAATTTGCCCAGAGAATCTTTCAATAATGAAAGTTGAGGCTTGAATATTTTCTTCAGTTCCCCCAGCTTGAGAAATGCTGAGTGTGTTCTTTATTTTTGGTTTTCTGATTCCAGATCTTTGCACATGTTGTTTTACTATTTGGCTTTATCGTCTCGAGCTGGTCTTTGAAACTTTCTGTTCAGCTCTTTACCTTCCTCATTTCTTCCATTTGCTTTAGCATCTCTACGCTGAAGGGGCCAGTTTCAGTGTCTCTTCTGACATCCATTTTGACCTTTTCCTTCTTTCTTGTCCTCTCAATGGCTTGTTGCTTTCTTTCTGTATGATGTTCTTGATGTCATCCCACAGCTCTTCTCATATTCAGTCTTTAGTGTTTAATGTATCAAATTTGTTCTTCAGATGATCTCTAAATTTAGGTGGGATATATTCAAGGTCATGTTTTGGCTCTCGTGGACTTGTTTTCATTTTCTTCAGTTTCAGTTTGAATTTGCATATGAGTAATTGATGGCCTGCTCCACAGTCTGCCCCTGGCCTTGTTTTCACTGATGATATGGAGCTTTTCCATCTTCTCTTTCCACAGATGTAATCAGTTTTATTCCTATGTATCCCATCTGGTGAGGTCCATTTGTATAGTTGTCTGTTATGCTGTCTAAAGAAGGTATTTGAAATGAACAAATCATTGGTTTTGCAGAATTCTATCATGCATTCTCCAACATCATTTCTATCACCAAGGCCACATTTTCCAACCACTGATCCTTCCTCTTTGCTCCCAACCTTTAATGATAAATACATCTTGATCACATGTTTGATCAATTTCAGATTGAAGAAGTTGGTAGAATTCTTTTATTTCATCCTCACTGGCTTTAGTGGTTGGTGCATAAATTTGAATAATAGTGGTATTAACTGGGCTTCCCTGTAGGCGCATGGATAGTATCTTATCACATACAGCATTGTACCTCATGACAGATCTGGCTATGTTCTTTTTGACAATGAATGCAACACCCTTTCTCTTCAATTTGTCCTTCCTGGCATAGTAAACCATGTGGTTGTCAGATTCAAAATGGTCAATACCAGTTCATTTCAGCTCACTAATGAGTAAGATACCGATGTTTATGCATTCCTTTTCATTTTTAACAACTTCCAATTTTCCCAGATTCATACTTCGTACATTCCATGTTCTGATTTTCAATTGATGTTTACAGCTGTTTCTCTTCATTTTGATTTGTACTCCATCAGCAAATGAAGGTCCCTCAGGCTTTTCTCCCACAGGATATACTCCATTCACGTCATCACGGTCAACTCTACTTTGAGGAGGAAGCTCTTCCCCAGTCGCATTTTGAGTGCCTTCAAACCTGAGAGGCTCATTTTCTGACAGTGTTTCTCTGCTATTTATAAGATTTTAAGTGTATAAATATTCTGAAGTAGTTCATCACTCTTCCTAATCTGTCTTTGTCTGGAAGTACATCTGAAACCTGTGCACCATGGGTGACCCTGATGGTATTTAAAATACTGGTGGCATAACTTTCAGAATCACAGGAACTCACAAGCCACCACAGGATGACAAATTGACAGACGAGTTATCAGATATACTTGTTCCTGCTATGGGTATGAGTGCCCTTGTTGTTAGCCTTTCCTTGTTTTTGTGTTGGGGTTTGTTGCATGGTTTCTGTGCTGCATATTTTGTTTGCTATTTATATTATTTTATAAATTAATTATTATTTTTCACTTTAACTTTTTAATAGTTTATAATTTTTATTTTGGAAGAGATCCATATCTGTTCCCATTCCAAAGAAAAATGACTCAACAGAATGTGGAAATAATCAGACAATATCCTTATTATCACATGAAAGTAAAATTTTGGTTCATTCTGTTGTGAGTAGGGTGGCTATGAATTGGAACCAACTCGATGGCATATAACAACAATAACAATTTTCATTTTAATATAGTAAAATATATGGTCATTCCACTTTTCAATTGAGAATTTAGTGAATGGTCAACATTTTGTTTTTAGCACTATCGTCAGTGTTACTAACATAATCAGTACCCAACAGAGATGTCTTCTTTTTATTCTAGTATGCTTCCTTACATGATTGTTTCTATAATCAATTTCAATTTCATTCCACTCAAGGCCTCTATATTATTTTAACAATTCAATGTTGATAAATGAATGCAAACTTCTATTATTATAGGTAAGTCCCTATTCATAAATATTAGAAACTTACCTCACATTTTGAAGTACAGCATGCTCCAGAACCACATTTCACTGAGCCCCTCAGCTTACATGTATTATGATCGCAGCACTTTTTAAATTGGCATTCCTATAATTTTACAAGAAGAAATACTATTCCTGTTCCAATTATGAGCTCCTATGAAAACTTGTTTTCAAATCTCAATTTTTATTTAACCTCTTCATGTGTTCAACATTTCATTTTCACAATATAATTACATTGAATGATGCTTTATTATTTTACTATTTCTAGAATATTCAAAGTTATATGTAATTGTAATAACTAAGAAAAAATTTTTTAAAAAGCAATAAAAAACAGTTTTTAGCTAACGTATTTAGTAATTAGTTAATAAACTAACAACAACATAGAAATATAGCCTTAAAAATGTTTGACTTTTGGACTTCCCCACAGGAAGCGCTCTCTCCGCCTCCTTTTTCTGCCCCATCTGATAGGCGGAGGCGGAGCCGGCGGCAGTGGTGGTCCCTGCCTCTCGGCCACCTCCACCCTGGCTTATCCCCTGGCTGGTGGCATTGGCGGGGAGGAGGACAGTAGTTGTAAACGCCCGCCCCTGCCTCAGAGAAGTTCCCTGGTTACTGCACAATCTCACTGTGTGGGAAGTTCATGCTGAAAAGCTGATGAGCAAATATGACCACAGTTCTCCACCAAGTTCTCAGCCTGACAAAGAAAGTCACTTGCTGTCAACCTAATGAAGCATTCAAAGTCATGATTTTTTCCAAGATGAACTTAAGGCATATATAAAAGTTCAGAAAGCCAGAGGCTTAAAACCAAAGACTTGTTTCAGAACAATGCGAGAGGACTATTTAGAAACCTTTGGGTACAAAGAAGAGGTTGATTCCAAGACCCAGTTACAGAATGTCTAATCAAGCACTCCCATCGGAAACTGTCCAGACTTACCCACGGTCATACAATATTCCACCAACATTGGAAAACCAGTTACCTCAGCTGCTGCTAGCTCATGACAGCAGACTGAGACTAGACTCTCCAGGCTACTGTCAACTCACCAAGGACTATTCCTTAGAAAAACCAATAGCCTTGGAACTTTTGTTGTTGTTGTTGTTATGTGCCATGGAGTCGGTTCCGACTCATAGGGACCCTGTGTAAGCCTTGGAACTTAGTCTGCAAGAATTGAATTGTGGCTCATACAGTGGAGAACCTGGAGGTTACAAGCAATTCTCAGAAAACAGTACCAGTGCCCATCAAGCCAGTCTTAAACAAAAGAGAAAAAGGCACCCTGAGGAAGGCAGAGAAAAGCTGGAGCAAGAGCGACCCAAGCATAAGATGAAGAAGTTACTAGGAAATGGATTTAGACAAACCCGAGTGTCCTGAGAAAGAAGGCAGAGGTGGAAACAGTTGGTGTCAGTACAGAAAAGCTTAAGAATAGAAAGGAGAAAAAAAGCCGAGAAGTATCCTCTAAGAAAGAGGAACGTAAACATATAAAAGAGAAAAAGGATCAAGGTGAAGAAAGGACAGAGGAGGAAATGCTGTGGGACCAGTCTATCCTTGGATTTTGAAACTACTTAGATGGTTCTCCTGAAATTGAATTGAAAAAAATATTTGGGGTAGTTTGGTTTCATGAGATTCACATTGATATCACTTTTCTTATATGAACAGGTACTTTAACCTCTAATAAAGGCCAATGAAATGGAGCGTATTTAGTATGCATATTCTCCAATGCAAAAATTACTTTTCCTTACTTTCTAAAAGCATAACATTATTCTTATATAAAATATAATTTCCCTTAATGATAATGGCTCTGATTTTTAGTCATCAAATTGCTATGATAGTAATTAGTTTTTTGAGAGATCATGGGTAAACTACTAGACTGCACAAAATGGAGAGAAAAGTTAATGGATTATAAAGCAACCTCAAAGAAAATTAACATTTCACAACATACAAAGAAGATGAAAATCCAAGAACAACATGGAAACATTAAAACTATGAGGAAACTCACACGAAAGAACACAAAAAGCATGAACTCAACAAAGAAAGACACACAGAACAAAGAAAGCAGCAACACCACAAAAAAACAAACATAATGGCAGCAATTAATCCATACCTATCTGCTCCCATAAAGATTTACAGCCTCGGAAACCCTGTACAGGGTCCCTATGGGTCGGAACCGACTCGACAGCACTTAACGACAACAACAACAATCAATAATTACACTGAATGTAAACAGATTAAATGTACCTGTTAAGAGACGAAGAGTTGCAGAAAGGATAAGAAAACAAGAGCCTTCAATATGCTGTCTGCAAGAGACACATCTCACACACAAAGAAAAAAAGAGATTAAAAGTCAAAGGATGGAAAAAAA